GCTGACAGTAATACTTATTTCCCTATCAAATGCTACAAACACCCTCTTTGTTTTATTCAGTGTGCAAGAATGAGCAATGCCTTTATGCTGAAATCTATGAAAAAACTTGACATGAGTTCCCCGAAGCAAAACCATTTGAACATTTTACAGTGTAAAAAATCTAAACAGTAAGCACTTTTGATTTGTGTAAAAGCACAACACTGAAGAACACCAGTGCTGTGGGAGCCGAACATATACAACAGAAAACATATCTTTAACAAATAGGAGAGAAAGAAGAAGACATATTTAATACCAAACATGTAACATGATCAGGCGGAAAAACACAGAAAAAGAAAAATGCTAAATCATAATATGTAAGCTGCAAAATACTTAAACACTAAGTAGAAATGCAGTCATATAACCATGTGCAACATATCATATAAACACAAGAAAACATAGTATTATGCTGACTGGGCAAGAAAAACGTTAGCACACAGCTGTTTGTGGCCTTTGTTTTATCTGTTGCAAATACACGTTTCTTTCGCCAACCACAGAGCTTTCACTCCTTAAAACACTTGCGGCTGGCAAAACCATAGTTGGTAAATACTTGAGTATATTGGAAATCGGCAGTCCTATACAGGTGGAAATAGGTAGCTGGGTAATGCAGTTCAGGGTCGGAGAGAAGCAAAGGAGGCAATTCTTGACAAGCAAAGGGCATAAGACAGAGTACACACTGGACAGGATGCTAGTCCACTGCACGGCACAGACACACAAACAGGGCCACTTCTCCCAGCAGCCCATCAACCTAAATGTAAGTCTTTGGATTGTGGGAGGAAACCCAGAGGAACAATGGGAAAACATACAAACTCTGTGCAGACAGCACCCCCAGGTAGGGAATTGAATCCAGGGTCCCAGCACTGCTGACCATTGGGCCACTGTGCCAGCTGCAGAACAATCCAAAACAAACACCAGTGCTAAAACTGTGTCGTGGCTGAAGTGATCGTTTAATTTTCTAGCTGCCTGAAGAATGAGCTGTAAATTAGTATAGCAAAGGAAGCTTCACGCACTAGAACCATGATCAATTCTGTGTGTCCTCATGACTGGTGGTGGCCGATCATGATCATCTAGCTAAGCGCCCGCCTGCAAAGAAACAATGCACAAGATTGATTTGCAACTTTTGTTCTTCATTTTCTCAGATGGGACTTTAGCAAGGTTCTCTCTGACTCTGTCGTGGTTTCCGACAGTTCATGGCCCGCTGGGTATCCAGCCACCTACTTTGTCTGAACAAGACAGAATTACTGCAGTCCTCCCCTTCAATTTCTGAAAGTAAATCTGCATGGTCCCCAGGACAGCTTTGACATCTTAGATTATACAAGATTATTGTATTCCTTTCGATGGAAGATTACATTTAGATATGTTTGTTACAACTGTGGTTGTTTTGTGAGGTGTACACCCTATGTGTCCTGTCCTTTCTCTACCAACAGCAAACCCATTCTCCTTTGGATCATTGAGACATGTCAGTCAGCAGTTATCAACAGGAATATAACTGTAGTTAAGAGCAGCTATGCAGAATATAAAACAAAGATTAACAGAGTTACTGGTTTGAATTCTCCTTGAAGCTGTTATTCTGAAGATCCCTGTTTGGCAAACAAACTGAGTTCTAAGAGTATCAGGATGAGAAGCAGGATGATTGCATTCAGTCAAATACAGTCAGCAGTGTTACTTTAAGGAACAATTATGCTGTGCTTGGATTCCCTCAGAACATTTCAGAGGATGCCTCCCCGAAGGTTATACTTCTCCTACTTCTCTAGGAGCTTAACTTACTGTGTCTAATTTCATTTTTATTCTTTAAACTCTTCCCAGGGTACAGTTCAGACAGGACCTACTGCAACAGCGTAGGAAGGAAAAGGAGTCACAAGCCCTCAGACTGCAAGAGCAGGAAGAGGAGAGGCAAAGACGCCTTGAGAATCTGAGAAATCAGGTGCTACTTTTGAGCAGCAGGAGACCTGTACAGAACACAAATAAATGTGAACGGAGCACATCTAGAAGCTAGTGTTTTGTGTTATCTACCCGTTCCTTAATATTCTGTTTTTATTTGTGGATGATTTCTTATTGAAAAATCTTTACCATTACTGCCACCTTCTGGCACGATGAGGCTTTATGGTCCTGAATTAACAGACTGCGGGGTGATTATTCTCCAAGGTGGCTGTTGTGGCTGACCTGGACCCAGTGAGGCTGATGGGGGCTACAAAATCATCAAAGGCCAGACAAAACATAGGAGCTGAGGAAGAGGTGGCTCTTCAGAGGCCACTGTTTCATTTGTACACGTACACTGACACTGAGGTGAGACGTTTTCCCTTTTTTTCACCCCATTCCTTGATTTGATTTAAAATGTTATCTAAAATTATGATGTTTTTCCTGAATAGAAACAAAGACAAAGATGTTTTCCAGTGAACCCAACTTATTGGTGACCTTGGTAACAGTATACAAATGATCAGTAATTACCTTACACTTCAGGATCATTCACAATACTGTTTGTCTTAGTTAAACTTTAGCCACATGTCCAAAAATCATGAAACCTATTTTTGTCAAGGCCAGACAGTGAATCAGCATGAGCATGTTTATAACAAATGTGCTTGAATTTTCCACGTGGCTGTTCTGTAACAGGCTAGGCAGAAAACATGTCATCTTTATTAATCTGACTGGCAGCTTTTCTTGTGCAATTTCTTTTTTTTCCAGTTATGACAGGAAATGTTGATATTTATGCAAATTGTGTGGATGTTTACTTCTTTACAACCATTAATAATGGTAATTGCAATAACAATTGTGTTAAAATTCAAATGGCAGTTTTTATATTATTGTTTTTTATCTGACTTGTGATAAAAATATATGGTTTGCTTTATGTTTTAAGCTGTTTGCCCTGATGGAAACTTGGGGCCTAAGTGTTTTTTCACCTGATGGATGATGAAAACTGATGAACAAAACCATCTTTAATTGAGTTCTTTTTTCCAGATTTTGTCTGATCAAAGAGTACGGATAGAACAAGCACTCAGGCAAGCCGGTCTTCATAACACATTTTACGCTAAAGACGTTCTCTCCAATATCAACCCACCAAGGCCGCCCAGAAGAGATATGGAGTCCACTCTATTTCAGAACTTGTCCTAGATGAGCCATTGGCTTTTCCTTGGCATATTCAATCTTGTAAGTATGAATGGTCTTGCCTGAATAAATATTGAGTATCAAGAATTTGCTTACTGTTACTATTTGACATAAATATAATTAAATGCCAGAAGGTTACTGATTAGATATTATTATTTATTATTGGTACTGTTTTTGTTGTTGTTATTAAGATTTTGCCATTGTCTAGGTAACTTACATTCAATCAAAAGTAAATGCAAAAAGAGTCACCTAAGTATAAGAAATTTGTAGTGTGCAAGTTACACAGTAAACAATATGACGTAATGCAGTAATACAAACAAATACAGGCATGACTCATGGACCTAACAGTCTGAACAGATGGTTCCTGAGGAGGCCAAAAGGTGGTATTGAATGGCGTAATCTTGTTGTTCTCAGCAGATGTCATGTCATAAATATAGAGGAAATGTACATCCTAACCTTAGGAATGACAAAATAGTTTTTATACTTTAAACTCTGTAGAGAGTCCAGAAATCTGAATCACAGTAACATCAGATAGATGTCTTCATGCTAAAGCTTTCATTGTTGAGCTAGTTCTAAGAACAAGGACAGGCTTGATTACTAGGTCTGTGTGTTCTGATATTTACACATTTAAAATTCAAGCTTGATTCAAATATCAGTTCTATTAGAGAAATACTTTCATTCCTATCTTCAAAACGAATGCTGAATTGTGCAAAACATGAATCATTTTCTTCTCATTTGATGGATTTAGGAACATACTTGGTCTCTCTTGACATGATTTGTTCACTACTCGCCTTCAGACTTTGATTATTTTCTTGTGGCCGAGGTTTTAGATTTAAACTTTTGAAAAAGATCAAATGTATCTGGGCATCCATGTCAGTAGAATATTTTCTTTCATATGGGTTTAATTAAAGATAGGACTTTGTTGTTTCTATTAAAAATAAACACTGTATCTCAAAAGAAGAGAGGCATCACCACGTTTTTTCAATTAAGGGCTTCCAAGAGGAAAAAAGTTTTTATAAAAACAGAATAACTTGAAGGGATTCAAACTCTATGTATCTAGAAATTCTACTAATGCACTAGGCCAATAGTACTTCTGAAAAACAAATGTTAGGACATTTTCATTCAAATGTCACCTCGGTACTAAGCCATTATATCAAATAAGAAAAGTGAATTGGCTATTTGTGCAAGTACCTAACTGTAATACTGTTGCAAAGAAATATATATATATAGTTGTTTTCACAGTTGTAATATGTTAATTTAATTTGGCGTATTGTAGAATGAGATGTCATTACTAGCAAAGTTGTATAGAAACTCTGATTTAGAATAGCCCTTTCTACATTTTTATCATTCTTGATTTGAAATGACCCACATATTTAATAAACCTGGCTCACTCCAGGAAGCCCTTGTACTTTGACTGCACAGCACTCCAAAAGTTTTTTTTTTCTTTCCTTACAGTAAATGTTCACTTGTCATTATCTGCCTGCTGTATTAAGAACAAAAGAACAGTTACAAATGAGAGAGGGTCATTCTGGCCATCAAGCACATTTAGTAGTTAATGGTTAATTGATCCAGGGATCCAACCATTTTTTTTAAATAAGCCACAGTTCTGCCTACAACATGGCTGTGTAGCTTCTGCCATAGTCCCGCCACTCTTTGAGTCAAGAAGTGCCTCCTGTTCTTGGTTTTAAATGCTCTTCAGTGTAGTTCACCTCTGCCTCTTATTCATGTTTCACAGTTCATTCTGAAAAAAATCCACTGACTTTGACTTTGTCAATGTCACTGAGAAGTTTGAATACAGTATTTGCACCCTCATGGTCGTTTCTGATCAAGATTAAAATGGTCTTGTTCTTTTTACCTATTCAAGTAAAACACTTTACTAATGTAACATACATCATATCATCATACTTTATCACATACTCTGGACTCTCTGCTTTACAGAGTTTAATAAAGTATAAAAACTATTTTGTCATTTTGTCAGAAAGTAAATATCCCTCTATTTAAATTCTACACTTTTGACTGTAAAGATTAACATTCTGTTGCTCCCGACATTGTATAGAGGATATCAATCATACATCAATGTAAACATCTAAATCATTTTCTGTTTTTCTCATTTTGTATTTATGCACAAACATTAACTATAAATACAAAATGCAAAATAGTCAGATAGAAAAGGTTTGTACTTTCTAAAACCTAAAAACCTCCTCTGGTGCAAGGAAGGTGTCTGGTAGGCTAGAGGGGACACTGTCATAGAAATGTTTTTGAATCAACATTGTTTGGGCTTTGGTAATCAATCCCTTGAAAGTTATGCTTTGTGCAAATTATAATGTCTTACACCAGCAGCACTGCTATTGGGTGTGTAGTTCAGGTGAAGACACTGGTATGCCTCTGTAAACAAAGAGGTTACCACTTATTTCAAGATATTCATGCTTTGCAGTTCCTAACAATTTCAGCTAATCTAGTAAATGAGCTCAGCTGTCCAAGTGTCTTCTATTTTTGTTCTGTTTTGCCAAATGCAAAGACTTGCCTTTGTACTCTCACAGGTGTGGTTGGCTGCACATTAGTGTTTTTCCTGAAATGTGTTTTTGCAGCTGCTTCTTAAAGACAGGAGCTTAATGTCTTCTACTGGCCTGGACCTCACTCTCCTGTATCAAAATGTTGGTAGTGGAGTTCATGTTCTTCTGCTTAATGATCACTGTCATCTGCAGGCACACTATTAATATTTTCAAAATGTGAAAATTCATTACTTCCTCGTCTTACTCCACATCTTTTTCCTTTTATTGTCTGAAGATTTGGAATGGGTTATAAGCAGATTCATTCAGCATCTAAGATGGGACTGCACACCATAAGTTGTTTTTAAATAGAAGCCTTTGAATGTTTTAGGGTGTAGTGTAGCATGATCTTCCTATAGAGTCTGAATACCAACAGTGGTTTTGAAGTCAAAGCAGATTTAATGTAGAACACAGAGGATATCCTTCATCTTTCATGGAAATTGAAACTTAAAAAAATAATCACAAATAGCTGTAAATAAGTAGCTTTGTAGTTAAAAAGCTGTTTGCTTTTGATTTGAGGTTTTTACAAAGATTCCACACTGCAATCTGTTTGTATTCACAAAGATGAAATCAGGTTAAAAGCTATTTTTGTCAAATTTCTAGATTACAGCTTGTTTTAATGGATTGGATTGCTGAATTCTTAACCTTGCTTTATGGTAATATTTAACTTGAGCAACCAAATCTTTACCAGTTAAGTCCATGCTTAACAATACCATTATGTGATTGATCAATAAAACATTCGTTACATTTCTTTTTTAATTGTGAGATTTTGTCTTTCAAACAAAAACATACAATATACAAATGTGCATTATAGATATTCATGTGAAGAACTATACAATGCAAATTTATTATATATTATTTACAGGAAAAAAACATGATTATATACAAACTCATTTACATTTGGAATTTAAGGCAGCAATGCTAATCAAAAAGTCCAAGGCGTTTCTTTATGAAATGTGACATCAGACACTGTGGCCGCTGTTGATATTCAGTAAGAACGTCATGTGGAGTAGAAATCTGGTCCCCTTCAAATCGATCCAGCAAGGTCACACAGACAACAGCAGCTGAAATATTGAACACAGTGCATTATATTTACATTGTGCCAATACTTCTGCTGCACAATATTTACAATGTAAAAACTAAAACCCAAACATAAACATGCAGAAGCGTCACTTCTGGTTATATTTCTTATTTGAACTGATTGATTTTTTTTGTTGTACAGCACCTCATAAACTTGGGTCAAGCTTTCTTGTCTTCTTTCTTTTCACATAAGAAATTCTAGCTGTTCACCATAGTTGATTTTTAAAAGTCTAATGACTGTAAGAAACAGAAATAGATTATATATATATACAGTATAACACCAAGCTATTTCTTCTGCCTATAAAGCGGGGAAAAAATTGTATTTACACTATAGTATTCAGAAATATTTTACTATCAGATAAAGTGCCAACATCTGAAATATGATATGATCCATGTGCTTTTATCAGATTAACATTTCACCATTCCTCCTCACAAGCTGTGCTTCTCTTGCTTGTTTGTACATTCTAAGCATGGATCCAAAGCTTAACAGGCTTGATTCCCAAAGCTTCTCGGACATTCCACTTTACTGGGCTGTTATTTGATAACTGTGTTCCCTGTACGAGGGTATGTGTAGAGCATGTTAATAAGTCTGTACTTTGACCCTTGTCATCTTACCAACATTGTTCTCAATTATAGCTAATTCTTGGAACAAAGTGTTTAGAACCTTTGCGGAGCACATTGGAAAATGTTTTTTTATAAAAAGATCCGCTTGGGATATTTACTCTTAATACCTTTCAGCCCGCAGATACGACACATGGCAGCAAACACTGTGGACTCCATTTCAATGTTCCGCACTCCGGCTTCGTGGGCTTTCCTCAAGTATTCCAGCTTTTCTTCCGTAGAGAAAGAGCACAAAGCCCCATCCAGACGACCCTGACCTGACAGGGATGGATAAGAGAGATGTGTAAATGTATCGGCAATATCCGCTTAAAATGCAAAAGCTTGAACACGTGCAAGACTTGAGTGCTCTTATACTGTATGGTGAACAATAAAAAAGTCAAACGAGAAACAAAAACTTGAAGTAAGTATATGTTGTCACATATTGAAATGTGTGGTTTCCAGGGCAGGTGCTGTCTTAGTTTCAAACTCAAATCAAATTGGTAACATTTCCTCTTAACGGTATAATTTAACTTGGTATTAAATGTCTGCTTCTGGATTTGACTTTTGTAAATCTCAACTCCATTCTTAAGTGGAGAAGCCACTTAGGTGTTTACATACTTCTAGTGGGACTGTCAGGAAGAACGCTGGAATCACCATTTCTTCTATGTCCCTTTCCACTGTCACATCTGATTCCTGCTGATACTCCCTCCGCTGAAACTGACTTCAAGGATAATGAAAAGCCAGCCAGACACCTCTTTTTCAGCAACAACCTGGCCATTGTCCAGTGCGATGTGACCAAATTGAATCGGGTTGAATGGAAGAACAGATAAAAGACTAACTAAAACTGTCACTGTACTGAGTCTTTCAAATGGACTTACCTTCGTAAAAATCATGGGTACACATGGTGTTCCCGATAACCGTGGGGAGGTTTGGGATCTCTGTCGCACACTGCAGCAGCTCCTGAGCCAGGTTTGCGTCCAGTTCAGTGCTTCTCACAATCACCTTCCCCAGCACCACCTGTTCAAACTGGGGCCGAAAGAAGGAGTCCACAGCTCTATCTGTAATCACTACGGTCCCCGGCTCCAGACCTGCACAACAGAACATAATAATGACGGTTGGCCCAAACCATTTAAGACCTATCAAGCAGCCATTTCTGTCACACTGTTTTTCAGAACTCATCAAAGCAGTATATCACGTAAAGAACCGTTTCATATTTTATATATTTTAAGAAAACAGACAACATACCAACGCCACCGGAAGTCCCAATGCGTATGAGGGTGACATCGGAACACTTGGCATGGTACAGGAGCTTTATCAGTTCGTGCAGCATAATGGAGATAGATGGAACTCCCATTCCATGCTGAAATGGGTCACAAAATCAGATGAGCAATTAACCAGCATGGAAAGATTCAGTTCAGCTTGCACTTATGATGTAAGCAGTAGCCAATTCACTTATAGAGCTCCAAGTGTAAGGATAAAAAGGGCAGCACTATTAAATACTAATGTCAGCACTGCAGTATCTTCTCTCACAGTACAGGAAACCTTATGCTTCAGTACAGTAACCTTATGTTGACAGCAGGCTTTTTAAAATTATTGATCTGGCAGAAGCTCAATGCATATTGCTGACTTTAAAATATACACTTGTAGAGGATTCTGCAACACGTATTGTTGCATTTCACATCTTCCTGGAATACATTTCTTTAGTGAAAAGTGAGAGTTGGAAACCTGAAAATCAAAAACTTATGGACAGACTTTCTTTAACAGGTGGCACATGCAACACAGTTTACTTACACTAATGGAAAGCACAGGGCCCACTTTGTACATAGAGTACCGGTCTGTTCCAGCACAGATGTCCTCAATGTCAGTGGTGTCCCCAATTAAGCCCAACTCCCTGTGCATAAACTGGGCAAAGGCTTTCATTCTGTTCCCGCTGCCACCAACACAGACAAACTTAAAAAAAAAAAACAGAAATAAAATAGTCAACTTAATGTGCTTCACATTCAACAGAGTATTTCTCCTGGTTAAAACGTTTGACCATACAGTCTTCACCTACCTTTATGTCCCCAAACATTGACTGCAGGTTGTGAGTTTTTGTTCCCAGGTTAAAGTGATAGAGAATGTCCTCCTCCATTGAATCCAGGTGAGGATTTTTAACATGCACCACCTCATGTCTGAATAACATTGGGGAAAAAAAAAGTTGCACTGAAGTTTTGACTAACATTTACTAAAGAAGATACTTCCGAATGTACACAGTACTTACTCAATATAATCTGTTCGTTCATTCCCGACACTTTCTAGTAAAATGGGAGCCATTGCTTGATGTTCACTCTGTGCCCAAACAAAAGTGGGGAAAAAAATGTACGTTTCATACTTCACATAAAAATAATTGAAATTCACATAAGAAATTCCAAATAGATATTAACAACCCTACCTTTCAAAATTCTCAGAATGGAAATGTTTTGTGGCTTCTGCTGCGTTGTTTGATGAAAGCAAGAAAAACCTCTCTGTTTGGTTGCGGGATGCTTATATCTGTGAGTCGTTCTCAGAAATGATTGGCTGCAGAGGGAGGTGTACAGTCAGTTCGACGTCACAAGGTCACTGAACCAAAACAGGCTATATTAGAGTAGGAGTCACATTCTGTATGCAAACAAAAATAGTGTCACTGAACCACCTCATTCCAGGGTTAAATTGCTTCCAGAGTCCCATGTACCATTGCATTAATTTTATTTACATAAAAGACTCCAGTATTGGAACCACTTTTGGGTAGTAATGGAAACCAATAGAAATTATTTACAGTGCCATAATGTAATTGTTGATATAGCTTTAGAAATGTGGGTGTAAACGTTAAAAGAAAAAAGTTGACATTGTCAGTTCATAAAATAATGTGAAATCATGACATAAAATATCAAAAAGTACATAAAAAGAGTATAAAACTTATTTCTTCTAACACTTCCAATACTGGAAATAGTACTTTATTTTACAATTCACTCATATTGTTTCTTTATAACATCAAAACATTCATATGGTTGAATTCTATACCAAATGACTTTCCATCATGTATAGTAAACATATTTTATAAATTATAAATATGAATCAACAGTTTCTCTTGGAGAACATTCAGTGGTATGAAAAGTTCTATCCACTACTCTGTGGTAGTTACAGAAACCAGCATTTGAAATGATCACGCGGCTGTACTTTGAATTCTGTTAATTATCCAACAATTTTCAAATTACCATTTGTTGTCAGACAACTTGGATTAACATCAACATGATATGGAAAATGGAGCTGAGAATACATGGTTAATCAGTGCACTGGTTAATCAGTAAAACCTAGGTTTTAAATATTTAATGTTAAGTTTTCAGCATTAATTCAACTAAAGCATTTCTGGTAACTCATTTTAGATTTTTTTATGATTGCTGAAAGTCACTGAGACATTCTGGGTATTTTCAAGTAACATAAAATTCCATTGCCAATAAGTTTTCTCTGTGTGAAAAATATGTATCCTTATCAACTATCCCACCTTTAGCTATTATCCTAATTAAACCAAGGATTATACAATGAACTCTCCAATACATTAAAAACCAAACTGCAAGCTAAATGTGGTTTTCAATTCTATATTCTAAACTTATTTTGAATTTTTTTCCATCAAAAACAGAGCTCCATTATAATTCACAACCATCACATAAATATACTGTACATTGACTACTGACATTTAAACTAACCCCTTATTTTAACTAGACATGTTTATGGTTTGGTTTAAAGATGTTAAAATGCAGAACTTGTGTTAACATTGCATTTGTGAGTTAGAAACTAATATTTTGGCTAATTCTAGTAAAATGGAGTAGTGTTAAGAACCATGGTTAAGAAAGCACTCTGAATGGGATTAAAGCTGATTTAGAGTTAAGAGATTTCTCCTGAAACTAGAAGTAGATCGTCAGATGGACTAAGATGGTTCGAGATGTGTGCAAGTCAAATTGCGTACATTCTAGATATATTGGATGACATTTACAGCTACAAAATATTGAACTAAGGTATGCCATTCAAAATTCCTCCAGTGAATACCCAGCTCTATAGATAGATCCCCAGATTATCATTGTTAATGAAAATGACAATGATAACTGCAAGTTTGTTGGGCCAAATGGCCTCTTTTTGTTTATAAACCTATGTTCTTAGGTCTTCATTTCTTCCCACTTTTTTAATAACATTCTATCACTTGTTTTAATCAATCAATACATCAATAAAGTAACATGAGGGTTAATATAACTGGAAATCAGAAATTCTTATACTTAATAATAACTCAATATAAAATTAAAATATCAAATACAAAATTAAAATGTTATGCACATGCAAGTTTATTGTTGGATTTCGTGGAAGGTATTTGGACATAAGCAAATTTTAGAATTCAAATAAAACAAACATGGAAGACATCAAAAGATATGCAACATCATTGGGAGTTACTGTTGTAAATATGTCTAGTATGCAATCATAGCAATATCAAAAATGTAATTGGGATGGGAATTATTTTAGCTGCTGAGTGAAAATGGGAGTTTTTGAAACATCAATCAGGGCAACTGTTTTTAAAGAAACATCACATAAACAAATACATTTTCATGAATTTATTTTCATGCACTGAAACATCTCCAGACTCAGTTCCAAGGATACAATATGATTGAAAATACACGGTAAAAGTAGCTTCATCTTGCAAATTTAACTTGCTAGTTTTAAAATACGACTTTAACTTAGCTTTCTGGAGATTTGCATAATATCACATGTATAAAGGCCAATGACAACAAAAACTAAATTCCATTCTTTAAGGTTCAATGCAGTAAGTGCAGTGCAAGCCTTTACCTGTATTTTATTAAGGTGGCCTAAATAAAGTTTGCAATAATGGAAAAAATACTTATGAAACATTGTTTACTAGGCCTATAGTACAGCTAGACATTATAATAATACTCCATGAGATTATTTAGTTTCCGAGTACCAGATATTTATAGCCTTACAATTTATTTTCAGACATTTTTACAACCTTTACAGCTGTCTCTTTAAAATAAAGCCAAATTAAGATGAAGTAAATGTTCCACGTTGTCATTTTCTTCTATTACTACTACAGTATATTCTATTCTACATATTACTAATGTAAACAATGCTTTTATATCGAATAGGTATGAAGAAAAACGCAGCACCATAAAACCAAAGACTCCTATATTCAAAGCACGTACATTTATGCTTTGAAGCGCAAAGCTATCTGGCTAAGGGACAAGGGTCTGGGCATGAAGAGAGGGTATTCAGAATGCCCTTTGTCTATGTGACCACATAAATGAAGCCAAGAGTCAGCTGGAAGGGTTTTGGTGGGGAATGCAGTGATACCCAACACCGATGAAGATACGAATCATCTGTTTTTGCATTTAAGAAAAACATGACATAAGGTGGGGGTTATCTTCTTTCTCAAACTTGCATTACTAGAGCTCATATGCAAGGCTTTTGTTTAATCATTTTAGTGTTCTAATGATTTGTAATAGCTGTAAGCTGAAGTCAGTCATAGCACTGAGTCATGGTCTACTGGGTACCACACAGATAGAGACCAATATGAAGTCAGATAATGGAATTAATGTATTTTTTTAACATAAAATAATCCAAATTAATTTTGAGATCTATTTTCACAGCACATCTCAAATTAATAAATATATAATTATAAAGCCAAATTTTAAATGAGTTATTTGTTCAGAATTTACAAGAGGCAAAACAACAAATACAGACAGAGCAATGTTTCAACAGATAAGAAAATCAGTATGATGAATTTCATCCACAATTGTAAATAAAAAAAGAACAAAAAACAATAAATAAAAATGGAATTAGACCATTGTGTTGCAATAGCAGAAAAGCAAATGGTCTGTTATTAAAATATGACAGGCTTCATTCTCAGTCCTCAGTCACATTGAGAGAGGTCCTGGTCTGCTGCAACAGAGCTTGGTGGTTCCGAGTTAACACCTAGAAGAGAATAACGCTTTATTAATTTCAGAGTCTTCAATTCTAATGCTGATAAAAAGAGGATTGATAGGATTGATGGATGCTAAACTTTATTTTGTGTCCGTTGACAAAAATCACATAATGAAAGAAAAAGAAAAGGAGATAAGTGTCAAATTAAATCAATACTGATTTCTGTTGTGGGTAAGAAAATGGTAAGGCACTTAGAACACACTGTTCAAACACTTGATTAAATGGAGTTAAATACCAAGGTCCATTTTTCCAGAAAACAAATTTAATACTAGGTTGTTCTTCAATTTCTTGCTAGCAATGCTCAAACCAGATGTATGCAATATCATAAGAGCATTTAATTCAACAATAATAATCATCATCATCCTAACACTTCTACAGCACTTTTCTGAAGCCAGTTGAAAAACAGGGATTATTGGGAAGCCATGATTGGTAAAAGCCAGGGAGAAATTTCCCCAGGAGACCGGAAATACACCCTGACTCTTTTTAAGAAATGGCCTGGGATTTTTAATGACCACAGAGAGTCAGGACCTCAGTTTTACATCTCATCCAAAGGATGGGGCCTTTTTACAGTATAGTGTCCCTGTCACTATACTGGTGCGTTAGGACCCATATACACTGTAGGGTGAGTGCCCCCTGCTGGCCATACTAATACCTCTTCCAGCAACAATTTTTGCTTTCCCAGGAGGTCTCGCATCCAAGTACTGGCCAGACTCACACCTCCTCAGCTTCTGTTGGTTCCCAGTAGTGAATTGCAGGGTGATATAGCTATCCTCTCAAGAAAATCATATTCTAATCAGTAAGAAGTGCTGAATGCAGCCCAGCCCAGATACTGTATGCTCTATTGGGTTTAAGTTAGGTCATGGACTGGCCACTGTATTCACATGCATATGGTGAAAAAAGTGATCAAAATGTTGCCAAAAGGCAACTGAAAGGTAAGGCTCCACAGCCGAAACATTGTGCTTTCTTTCTTCTCTTTTCAGCATGGAATAAACCTATTACTTGTTCCTTTGCAGACATAAAATAATTCTAGGTAAAATCATGGTGAATCTCTTACTTCTACATATTACATTCATAGATGCTATTGTGTTTAGCGAACTAGTAGATTACTTAGGAAGGCCTAAATGGTGTGTAGGTAAGTTTAAGAAAGTCACCATAAGGTTCTATATTTGCCAACCACCATTTTAATAACCAAGAGGTTCTTAATACCTACCTACATACATTTTGGATTCCAAAATTGGCATTGTACAAAGTATGAAATAGGTCTATGATTCACAAAGGAAATCTCTTTGCTAAATAATATATAATCTTAATCCACCCATAAAGATCAAGGCTTCAAAAAAAATACACAGGACTTAATTTACAAACTTACTTGATTCTTCTTCATCCTTCTGGGCTTCAGTGTTGACAGCATGCCATTCATCAGCATAGCCAAAACTCAGCAGCTTCTGCATGCTAACAGGTGGTTCTTTTTTGTCAAAAGACCTTAATTGGTTTGGAGAAAAAAAGTTTTAGCAACTACAGTATATATAGGAACAAGTAATAGGTTTATTCCATGCTGAAAAAAAGAAGAAAGAGAACACAACGTTTCGGCCGTGGAGCCTTCTTCAGGTGTGACACCTGAAGAAGGCTCCACGGCCGAAACGTTGTGTTCTCTTTCTTCTTTTTTTCAGCATGGAATAAACCTATTACTTGTTCCTTTGCAGCCTACGCATGCTGACGCAGCTACCCACCTGAACTACAGTATATATATTTGCATATGGGAAAACATTCTATGGGCAAATGTTCCTTCAATAATTTTGGGTTGTTAAAGAAAACCATTGCACAGTATAGTTAGAATAACTACTATGAATACATTCATCAGAAAATAATTAGAAAGTAGAAGTGTTTACTATACAAATGAGCTCAGTTAAATAGTGACTTGCTGTCTCTGTAGTTCCAAAAGCAGAGTTTCTGTAACTGAGAATATCAGGCCTGTATCTGAAGTAGTATAAAATAGTGGTGTACAAACTTGGACCATCCCATCCAGGATTCATCTCCTAGCTGAATGGTACCATCCTAAACTATAAAATAATCTTAAAGGGAGTCTGACAAAACAGAACTGGAAAAACCTTTTCTGTTATATTATATGCTACAGCTTCATCTATACCTCAGAGTATTCGAGTTAGAAACTACATTTATAAGTTTATTTGAGTTTTGATTTAAATTGAAGCTTAAATTGTAGTATTTTTCCCCAGCAAATCTTTTTTGTTTTATGTACCAGTTGGCTCACACTAAAGAAGTAGAACATTAACTTAGAACAGCAATAGGAAACTCTGCTTTAGGAGATGCACTGTGGAAAATGACACAGCTTGACATTTAAGCATACATTCCATGGATACTAAAATATAAGTCATTTAACCGAGCAACTTCCAAACTGTGAGAACTTTAGTGCAGTAGATTCTCATGAGTTAACCCTATTAAAAAAAGAACATTACCAAATTCTTTGGAAATATTAATTAAATTATTTGGATTCTGCTGTAAGATGGACCACGAATCAAACATTTTCAAGTGGAACAAAATTCTGATGATGATCTATATTTACTACAAGTGCAGTAAAAATAAACTCAAAATACAAGGTCAACCCTCATTTTTGGAACTAAAGAATGTTTATTTTACCTTCACCTATCAACTAGTGAAGAGTCAATAGTGTCTTACTGCAATACAAAAGTTTCCCATTATTAGTAATAGTGTGTTGAAGGTCATGTTGTGCTTGCTTTGGAGGAAAACATTTGTTAAATCTGTACATTCTATTGTAGAATTTGAGTCAAAATATTCTGTATTTCCAGATTTCTTTGAATTAATCATGCCTAATCATTCTAAGAGTGTATGCATTTATCAAAAGTAATCTACCTTCTTCTTATGAATAATCAAAAGAACGGATTACTTTGTCTGAAGGTCTATTATCTAAAATTGCATGTAGAGGTGTGATTCACTGTCCAGCATCATTCATTACACACAGCTTTAAAAATAACTAATTGTCCTCATAAGCTGCAAGGATGTACAATAAAATAGTGTGGTTTAAAATTAGCAAACAGACTACATGGGTCAAATGGCCTCATCTCATTTGTAACCTTTCATTCGTTTGCAAAAGATTAACTTTAACAATCATAAGGAGAGTGCTACACTTCATCTGAATTCCGATATAACTTTCTTAATAACTGCTCTTTTGGCACATGAAAACTTAGCAGGCAAATAAAACTTTCTGTTTAAAAATTGGTAAAAACAAATTGCAGCCAAACAAAACAACAGTAGAGGTGACCATGTCCTCAGTCTTTTCATCGAACCAAGAGTTTTAAGCCAAAATAAAAAAACAGATACGCTTTTATATTTTACTGTTTGCAGTTATTTGCTTGTTTCGATTTTGTTCTTTTGAACAGTCATATTTTCTAAAACTGGTTTAAAAAACTGGTACATTAGAACAATGTAAAACTATGTTTTTCTCAAATCAGGGGAAATATTGAGATTACATATGAAAAGCAAATAGCCCCAAACCAAAATATTATGGTCTGCTATACCTAACATAGTATTTATTATCATAAACAGCCCCTTAATTTCCCCTACCCATTGACTCTCTGTTGATACTTTATTATAAAAACATCTTTCATATTAAATTTATTACACATCTGAATTATATTTTCCAATCTTAAAAATCTGTTTATGGGTAGTAAAGGAGAATATACAACATTCCAGCATTTCCTCAGCTGGTGAAATTAAAATAATTAAAAGCTAATTCTCTATCTAGTATTTTTGTCAAACCAAGGATGACAATTCAAAACAGTTACAAATTAAATAGGACTAAAGGTATTCTTTATTTGGTATATAAGATATATAAGTTGTCCTTCTTAATGTAAAAAACCTAGAAAATTTTCAAATAAAGGATTTAAATTTAAGCAATGGTTACACATTAACTTAAGACTAACTAGCATAGTTCACAGCACAAAATAAGCAACAGCCTTTTGGTTTTCAAACAGATGCCAGTCTCCTGCATTATTGTTTTGAGTAACATGCTGTTAGTGATCAGTAAAAACACACAATATAGTCCCAAAAGGATAGCTTCTAGTTTGTTCACCTTTTCACATGATGGCAAGCCCAGGGGTTCAAATGCAAGAAGACAACATAAAATATTTATTTAATGGGCTGTCTGTACTTCTATAAATCCTGCAGACAGTCTAGGTTCCTACAGGAAACACTTGCTTTTATACACCACTTCCGAATAGTAGAAATGGTATCCAACTAAAAAATATGGATTAAGAAAATGAATGCTATTTTATAGATCACTTCACAATCATTTTCATACTGCATGCAATGGATTAATAAACACCATTGAGCAAGCTGTTGTATAGTGCACATCTGAAAGCTATTTAATATGCAGTGTGGAATCAGTGCATTCTGAGTATATACTGTCCAAGCCCAATCATTTCAGTTGTTTGTAAAAATATTTTCAGATAGAATAGTTCAGAATTTGTAATTGGCAATTGTTATTGACTAGATACGGCCCATAATGAAATCTCATGTCCCATCAGAAATCCAATTTTTAGACAGTGTTTCTCCTTAATGCCTTGATGAAGAACTTGATTTATCAAACTTCCTGTAATTGAAATAATTCTTTAAAGGTGAACTGTTTTCAATGAGTAGTATCGTACTTAGATTTTGCATTTTTTCTTTTTTTTTTGCCTTGAATAGTTTACATTTAAAACATCAATTTGATTAAGTCTTAAATATCCAGGGAATGCAATGATCAAAGCTGTCCTCTGAAATGTTGACTCATATATAGTCTTTACATATATAGTTTAAATGGTGGTACTATGCATTGTCCTTTGAAATAGTAAAGAAAATTTCAAGAACAAACGAACACGTTATTGTCACGTACTTTGCCTTCTGGTGAAAATGGCTATAAATACATTCTTACAAAATACTTACACTTTCTTATATTTGCCTGCGTCCTTATAATTTTCAGTAGTTAAAGATGGGTTCTCCAACTGGATTACAGGATGGTTCATTTCAGCCTTCTGTGTCAGACAAACAAAATGTTCCAAAAACATATTTAACGCAGATGTGATGAGTTCTGTCCAAATTCTAAATGCAAGAATCAACCAAGAAAATGGTATATAAAATGAAATTTGTTCAGGTTTTGACTGAATGGTTTAAGTCACGGATGACACATGAAAAAGCAAACACAGCAGAATGTGAAGTACACAATCACAGTACTGATGTACTAGATATTTTGCATTCACCTTATCCTGGGGCTCCCGCTCCCAGTGTGTTTTACTATCACTTCCAAAGGGAGCATCTAGAGGATGCAATGATGCTTTACTTGGACTTTTCTTGAATTCTTCAGAAGTCATGTAATCAGGAGTTGTTCTTTTAGTTGTACTGCAAGTAGAAAACCATAGTAATTTCCCCTATATCTAAAAGCTCTGTACAAGACACTAAGAGGAAAAAAACATCCGGATATTACCAACATCATTCTGCAGTTTTTATGCTCATGATTGCCACCTCCAGTTGACAGGGATTCTAATACTATTATTTTATTAAAAATAAAAATCTTTGGAACAAACTCATGTTCACCTCCAAGGCATTAAGTTTCAACTCAAAGCCTTGAAAAGAACCAATGGATTGCACAGCTAAACAATTAAACCAGTTACTTGGTCAAAAGTCCAGTACACTTTCACCCATTAATCAGAATCTGAATATATTTTTAAAAAACCACATGGATCTTAAAACTGAAACACTAGTCCAGTGCTAATATGCTAGACGTCCTTTCTTCAGGAAAGACCGGGAGGATGACTGAAATTACAATTAAGGTTAACTAATCGGTCATTAATACCTGTAGTCCTAAAACGCCTTCTTCATATCTATACACCACAAGAGGGCAAGCAAGATCCAACTACACTTGACAATGGTATGTAGATAAAAAGCTTGATCATCATAGAAAACACATATAATTGTTAAAGAACTAGTTAGTACATTGGAACAAATAATAGGTTTATTCCATGCTGAAAAGAGAAGAAAGAAAACCAAATTCAAAATGCAAGAATCAATCAAGAAAATAGTACATAAAATGAAATTTGTTCACGTTTAATTTTTCTTTCTTCTCTTTTTTTAACATGGAATAAACCTTTTACTTGTTCCTTTGCAGCCTACGCATGCTGACGTAGCTACCCACCTGAAATAGATAGTACATTGTCCTTTATCAATATTTAAAGTTGGTTTAGTCACAAGGAATGTACTTCTAAGAATATTCGGCACCATTATTAATTCTGTAGGAATAAGCTGATCAAATGAAAATATTTATATATGCCACACAGTATGCAATACATTTTTTTTTAAAAGGGGGGTACAATAATTGGTCCTCAGTATGTTTATTCTGTGGTTGAGCCTTTGTTTTTGACACATTATGAATCTTGTATCCTTAGAGCCTCTTAATAATGGTGAGAAATAAATACTTTGAGAATTGAGTTGCTGTAATTTGATACTTCATAAAACCACATGTATTTCAAACTAAAAATTGTAATACTTAAGATAGGACACAGACCTTTTAACTGTAATTGGACAATATGACATCTTTAAGACAATTTGTCTCAGAAAATGTGTACAAATTGCTCCTTACCTCTGAATTTCTTGAGGTCCAGATTCTGATGAAAACCAGTCTGGAGGTATGTAATGCAACTTGGACTTTGTCTCTAAATTTTTCTCCTCATGCCATAATAAACCTTTGGTAAAAAAGGGAATTTACATTGTTAATTCTCCATTCATTTTAAATTCAATTGGATTACAAATGTTGAAAATATTCACTATTTTTCAAAACAGGTCTTTGAAGACTAAGGGAACCCTCCCAATAGGTAATTTCAATTTACTTTTCAGATCTTCCATTTTATTCACTTATTCAACATTTTATATTAAATAAAATAACCATATGAAAAGATTAAAAATAACTCAATATTAAAAAGGAAAAAAAACTTTAAGTGTTTTGGACAACTCAGCAATCATACAATGGGCAACCCAGTTAAACCATTTTCAAATTTAAAAAAATGTGGGATTTAGGCATCTGTGAGCCTGTGAGCTCACAGATGCCTGTGAGCCTGGTCAGCACCTGGATGGGAGACCTCCTGGGAAACACTAAGGTTGCTGCTGGAAGGTGTTAGTGGGGCCAGCAGGGGGCGCTCACCCTGCGGTCCATGCGGGTCCTAATGCCCCAGTATAGTGACGGGGACACTATACTGTAAACAGGTGCTGTCCTTCAGATGAGACGTAAAACTGAGGTCCTGACTCTTTGTGGTCATTAAAAATCCTTGGCCTGGGCGTTTCTCGAAAAGAGTAGGGGTGTAACCCCGGTGTCCTGGCCAAATGTCCCATTGGCCCTTACCAATCATGGCCTCCTAATAATCCCCATCTATGAATTGGCTTTATTGCTCTGCTCTCCTCCCTACTAATAGCTGATGTGTGGTGAGCGATCTGGCGCACTAGGGCTGCCGTCGCATCATCCAGGTGGATGCTGCACATTGGTTGTGGTGGAGGGGAGTCACCATTACCTGTAAAGAGCTTTGAATGGAGTGTCCAGAAAAGCGATATATAAGTGTAAGCAATTATAATTACTATTATCTAGTTTTTGTAAATTATGTAAATTTTCAATGGCTAAAACAGCTCATATATAAGATGCCAAATTAATACTTCCTTAAATGCAATGACTTGTAAGAGTTTTTTCTGGCAAATTTATGTTTCAAACGTATTTTTGATATAGAACAACTTAACTAATGTTATAGTAATGCCAATTTTTCCAGTAAAGAGTTTCCAACATATTACATCAACACAAACACAAAAGAACACAGCACCTTTCTGCCCGCCTTGTTTTGCCAGTTTTACATAATCAGAATCGGATTCAAGAATGCCAGTCCGACGTCCATGGGTTTTTTTTTCAGGACCACCGTCAACATAATTTCCCAGTCCAGGAATCTGCGATGTGTGCCCCACAGCACCATTGTTACTGCTTGTAAACATATCTAGTTGGATCCCTGAAAAAATGAGGACAATGGAAAAACACATTTGTGCTTTATTTAGTACAGTACATTCGGGAATATTGAAATTAATTTTAGATTTGACTTTGAGGAAAGAAAGAGCTTATTTAGGGATGGACGTTTTATTGAGTATTGGATATATTACTCAATTCTCCAAATTCTCACAAAATTTAACAATTGTCTGGCTATACATAAAGCGAGACTTTACAAAGTAATTTACTTCAGTCGGAAAACTGATGTTTGCCTTCTAATTATCACAGCGGTAGTAATCACTTTATAGCTCAATCTCATCAAAGCCACGAAATCGACCTACTAACTCGTTTAACATTATTACCCATTTCCATTTTAAACTAATATAAGACCCTCACACCCGAAGATGTCTCCACAGCCGAAACGTTGTTTTCTTTCTTCTCTTTTCAGCATGTAATAAACCTATTACTTGTTCCTAATATAAGATCTTACTACAGTAAGGTATTTGATAGCACTTACCTTGTTTTTCGTCTCCTGTTGTGCTGCTCATTTCTGAGGCCCTGTGGTGTTGATACTAGTACAATAAAATAAACCTGTCAATATTTCAAGCGCAGATTTAAACTACCATATTAAGACCATAAAACTATACTCTTTTTATAAGCTGTTTTTTTTTTTTAATGGATAAATGGGCTTAATTACCGAGGACTGTTTTCTTCGGAAATCAATGAGGATATAGGCCAACGCTAGGCGGTTAAAAAACGAATGTGCTTTCAAAAATAAGATAACCCCGTCTGCATTGTTACGTTTTACATTAAATTTAAACTTAAATCGTGCATTTAAAAGATAATAACCCCCCAAAAAAGATGTGACCACACAACCAGAACTCTCACCTGCTTGTAAATGCTGCACCGATTCGTAGTTCTGTGTTTACTGCTGGGTTCTAGGAGGAAGTACCGGCCGTTTCTGGTAACCATGGAAACGAGGCCAGGAAAGCAACCATCGTTTTTTTTCAGCAGTTAGTTCGCCTCCGACGGTTTGCGGTGGCACAGATATTCATAGGAATATAGAGCGCCCTAGCTCGTGAACTCTTCTCGGGGTCATTTCCGCTAGGCGGCCATGTTACGCGGGTGTGGAGTGCATGTCCTTAGGTTAAGGCAGTAGACAGGGATCATCAAAAATGTTCATCAAATGCTGTGAAACTTTGACGTCAATAAACTGTTTTTGTTTCTTTTGTCTTGCGTTACAATATCGACATGTAAGTGTATGTTTTTGAATTCCAAATAAAAACTCAGAATCAAGACAGTAATGCAGTTGTTGCATTATATAGTACCTTTCCAAAAACCTTAACTCAGTAAAACTTTTTTTTTAAAACCGTCTAGTTCTCCAAAAACGCCTAGGGTTTCCGAAGACTTTAAGAAGAAAAAAAAACAACTAGCTAAAATTCAATTCTTTAACACATTGTTGACCATTCAAAGTGATAATGTAATTGTATATGTTCCGTGATATTAGAGTGATATTTAAGTTTAAATTTTATAACGACTACTGGTAAACTGTTGATTTAGTGTGAGCCTATGGGCTAGGAGTTCAGTAGCTTCAATGCATTTTGAATGACTCTTTTTGGACAGAAAACTGCATGGTAGCTAGCGTGTTACACACAACTAGTCAAAATGAATAATTTAAAATATTTAATATTTTTGTCAGTGATTTATTTTGGTTTAGTTTTTTTTTTTAGTTGTGCGCACATGACGTCTGTCTCGACTTCCGGAATAATTTCACTCATTCAGCATCCACAATATGTTTATTCCACGCATCTGCTTATCTTCGTGCAAAGTAGTGTCACATTTTCTTAGTCCTGGACGTGGTTACACTTGATTGATCTTTACAAACTCCATTAACGGTCTATTTTTAATGTAAAACATGGAAAATGTGGAGAATAGTATATTCAACGTCTCTATACACAGCTCATTGAATAATAGTACAAAGATCTGATACACGATACACTACAATACATGCCAGCAGCCATATCACCCTGCAACTCACAACTGGCAACCCACTGAAGCTAAGCAGGTGTGAGCCTGGTCAGTACCTGGATTGGGAGACCTCCTGGGAAAAACTAAGGTTGCTGCTGGAAGAGGTGTTAGTGGGGCCAGCAGGGGGCGCTCACCCTGCGGTCCATGCGGGTCCTAATGCCCCAGTATAGTGACGGGGACACTATACTGTAAACAGGCGCCGTCCTTCCGATGAGACGTAAAACCGAGGTCCTGACTCTGTGGTCATTAAAAATCCCAGGGCGTTTCTCGAAAAGAGTCAGGGTGTAACCCCTACTTCCTGACCAAATTTCCCATTGGCCCTTACCAATCATGGCCTCCTAATAATCCCCATCTATGAATTGGCTACATTACTCTGCTCTCCTCCCCACTGATAGCTGATGTGTGGTGAGCGTTCTGGCGCATTATGGCTGCCGTCGCATTATCCAGGTGGATGCCGCACATTGGTAATTGGTGGTGGTGGAGGGGATCCCCATTACCTGTAAAGCGCTAGAGTAGAGTGTCTAGAAAAGCGCTATATAAGTGTAAGCAATTATTATTATTACTACTATAACTATACAAACCGTTCACTTTCCACCCTAATGTGTTATTGGTAGACGGGGAAAACAACCATGACAACATTATACTTGGCACAGATTCCTCCGAAGTTCATCCTGTAATTTCTACACATGTAAAAGCAAGCATGTTTTATATCCATTTTCTTTCTTTCAACAATTATGCAATTAGTCTACCCATTGCAAAATCCATTATCACAACAAGTTCTCCTTTTCAAAACCTGAACTCTTCTGGTTTGTTACATTTGTTTGTACCTAGGTACATTAAGAACATCGCTGTGATAAATCCATTAGCTTTCAATTAGTTGTAAATCAACGTTTTAGACAAAATCATAATCTTCAGACATGTCTTAATCTGCTTCAGTGTTACTACCGTTTTACGAGTCATAATCATTTGTTACAATGACCTCAAATATTCTGGGAGTGTTTACAGCTGTTTTACAGACCCATTAATGTGGGAAGGCTAATTAATATTCAGGACAGACAATTTACAATTAGCTGTACAATCATTGAGCGAAATTACTTTCTATACCGGTGCTAATTATAACGCAGAAATCCATCAGATGTTTTCTTTAGTTTTTTATTCAGGTAAAGCGGTTAACAATGTTGTCTCACACCCCTGGGGTCCTGGGGCGGCTCTCTGTGTGGAGTCCAAGTGGATTTGAGTCCAGTGTATTGCGCTTTCTTGATTGGCTTCTCTGGATTGTCTCTCACTAATTTGGGGGTGTTCAGAGATAGAGTCACACGAGCACGATGGGCAGAGACTGTCTCTCACTAATTTCAAGTCTAAAAAAGATTTTTTTAAAAACCTCCTTCTCCCATTACACAGAAGTACACACACACACAGCTAGTGCTGTAATCTTTTTTTTTAATTAGACACTTTTCGAGACTTGTCTACACATGCTAAGTGGCAGAACCCACGCATATTTTATTATCCGTAAGATGAATCCTAGACATCATTGCTCACCAGAAACACTAAAATGTGGTTTAATTACTTTTTAAGTACATATCTTTATTGAAGCAATCTGATATGAATGATAAAAGGAATTTGGTGCCTCAAGCCGACAGAGCAATCAGTTGTAGGCTATACCGTTTAGTTTTCAACGTGTATGAATAGATTTTGAGCTACAATGCATTAAAATGTGTCTACCAAGCAAATCGAACTATTCTAGCTACGTAGAGGTAGAAGATCAATATAATAATTAATACAATAATTTGCAAATCAGATTTTGTGGCAGTGGCAGTAGAATCATTGGCCGAAAATGGAAATTGCCTTCAGAAACGCACACACAAGATTTTTCGAACCTCCTTGAAAACAAAAATTGAAACAGTCGGTCAGCAGATGGAGTAAGAATGCCAAAACCTAATCCAGACTCCTGTCCTGTTTGACAAACGTTGTGCAAATATTTGACACCGACTGCACTCGTTTGGGAGCCTGATTATAATTACGAAATTTGTCCCCTGCGTTGCTTAACAGTTCGATTTTCAATCCGGCGTATCGGACATCGCCTGTCTCCCCAGGTGTCTGCAGTCAGAAAGGGTAGAAAGGAAATGATGTGGTAATGGTCTTCTAATTACACTCAGTAGACAGAGTTTCAGGGCGACTTCCTCCTCCGGGAAGATCCTTGCTCGCCCAGTTCGGGGGGAAAGTTTTTCGGTTACTCTTTTAACATCGATGAAGTTGACGGGGCAGAGGGACGGCGGCAGTTGCTCGGGTGATGAAGTCGTGTGGCCTGAAGTTGTAGAAGTCCGTGGGTGAACTAGCAGCACAACGGCGATGTTGATACTAGAGCTGGGTAGCTCGCTTTTCGGAAAGACAACGGAAAAAAGCTGCAGCAGCACCCCTGATTCCAGACCAATGGCTAAATAGCTCCACGGTGCTCCGAAAGAACTAATTTTGACCTCCTGTCTTGAAAGCACGTCTTTTTTTTCGGGATAAAGGTAAGTTTTTGGTTGCTTGAAGTTTGAAGCTTTTCAGTGTTTGAAGTGGGGAATAGTAGCTTATTTGCTTATTGTTTTGTCACACGCTTTGCCATATAAACAGGGCTGATCGACTTTGTGAATGTACATCATTAGGTAGCCTGCTTATTTATTTGTTTTTTTAACTAGCTTTTGTTGGCGTTAGCACTGGATTACATAGTGTGAAATAGAATCTTAAAAACATCTTCTGTGTTTATAAACGCCCAGTTGTTAAGTTCTGGTCTGGGCAAACGTGGTGGTGGAAAACATTAGCCGGTAATTGTAAGAACTCAAATTGGCCACCGGTCTGATATCAGTTTAGTGACCTCCTTTTTCACTAGTCTGTTGTAAATCGTTAAATTACGAGAATTACTTTTTCGTTAGACATGGCTGCTTCATTTCGTGCACGTCGTGTTTTTGGGAGTGTTTGTCCTCTCCATCTGAACTCCCCACGGTGCTAAAGTACAGGCAATTGGCACTTGGTTAGAGTGGCTTTTGTCATGTAGACGCCGTTCACAACATGGCTTAAGCTCAGCTGTGTTGGTTGCAGATCTCACCATTTTCAGCATTAAACATTACAATAGGCGGTGTATCCAACATTCCCCAACTCGGACAAAAACCGCTAATGAAAAGCTTTGAAAAGCACAGGGAAGAACCCCGGAGGCAACTTAGTTTAATTAAGGTGTCTGGTTTCATTTGTAGATGAACACTATAACATATGGTAAAAAAACTGGAGCAACCTTATGATTCTAAGTACGTTTGGATTTTTTTAAATTGCGTTTTTCTCCGTACTTGCAGTTGTTCGTTTTTTTCTTCTTCCTTCTACTACTCCACCAACAACAACAACCTCGCCCAGCAGGTGGCAGCAAGAACGGCGGCATGAAACAACCAGAAGAATAATAACTACCACAAAATATCGCCGCAGCAGCCATGATTTAGGCCAAATCAAACACTCGATAACCAGTTCATGCTGTTAAAATAAAAAAGGCTTAGAATAAATAACAAAATCCCAGTATTTAAAGTACTTTTCATAAATACCATTAAAAATGGGCAATATGATTTTAAGAACAAAACATTTTGGAAATGAATTAACACTTAACGAACTTGTATATGAAGTGAAACGATAACAATTTGTAACATTGTAAACAGATATTCTATAACTATTCGTGCTAAGCCCAAGAACAGTTTAGGTTTTTGAATGATTTGGAAAGAAGTGTAGTTCTTATGTCCTGACAGAGCTTGTTACGGTTCACCATATCTACACTGACTGCAGTGATATCCCCCACTCAGGATAAACATCTGTTTGTAGAAACTAAATGTTTTGCCTGCTTTTATACGCCGTTTCCAAAAACTGTGTGGTTAGTTTCCTTTTGTTAAAATTCCCATTTCAATTATTAAATGTTTATACTGCTGTCATTTAATGTTGGAATTGTTTAATCCACTTATTCACTGTGCAATACCTAAATATTATAAGGGATAGAGAATTCAATATTTTAGCTTTTACAGTAGTTCTAAATGGGTCTGTGACTAAATTATACACAGTATGACTACAGTATGAATATTCTAGATAAGGAGATGTCACCAAAACCAACATTTTGTATGGAGTGGCAAAGGGGAGCTTTACAAAGAAGTGCAGTACCCCTGTTTTCACTAGTTGTGTTTTCCAGCACTGTCATGAATGGAAATGTAGGACATATCAGGAACCTATAGTGCTTATCCGAGTTAGAGCTGGAGTCTAGGGGTGTCGAAAAAGTAATCTGGAACAAGATCAACAACTCCACATAACGGAGCTTATCAGTTTGATGCCAGACATTATGTCAGAAAAAGCTTATACCAGTCTGTTAATTCATTGTTCGTGCTATATGAGTCAATATTAAAATGTACGTTATGAAAACACTTAGGGCTATGTTAACAAATCATCTTTTTTTTGGGCGGCAGTAAATGCTAGCTTTGCAAAAGTTGACTTTTTCATGCACATCCAGTAAATGTCGTAATCTTGACAAATACAGACCAATAGTGTATGACTTACTAAAAAAAAAAAACACTGAAAAAGAGTTTTTAAGTTTATTCGTTACAACTATCAGAAGGGCTTGGTCACATGGAATGGGGTTGGTCGTTACTATGTATACAAACAGGGTTATGATAAAGAGATTAAAGTGATGGGCAGTTTGAGTGTACAAGCTGCAGAAGAAGCAGATGTTAATTCCATTCTGAAAGGTAAAATGAAAGACATGAACCAAATGTTTAATGCTTTCTTTAATGATAGAGGCATCTATTTTCTGTCTTTGACAAAATACCTGGAAAAGTATGTTAATCTAGTGTGCTGATGTAGTGTGGTGACACTTGTCAGTGAAATCTTTTGACAGGTCAGCACAGGTACCCTTAACAAAACTTCAGATCTGGGTTTTATATCTTCTGTGTGAGAAGATTATTTTCTTTGGTGTTTTTTTTTTTGTATCCAGACTATACAAGATCATAATGCTATAAGTACCTCTCAGAATGATCCTTCGAGAATAGTCTTTTTATTTTTACTCATTTAAACGTCTACAAAAATCAAATTCACTTATCTAATGTTACTTTTCTTTGGTTTGTTTATTCAAGTTGTCATATACAGTAGTTGCCTTTTGTTGTTAATGAAAGGTGTCTTTTTACATTTTTTTTAATTCATCTTGTGCTGCTAATATGAAGATTCGTCTAAAATGCCAACAGAAAGTTTAGTATTCAAAATTTTCTCATTTGAGCACTTTTCTTTGAATGGAAAATGTAACTCCCAAAGGCCTATCCACAAGACAAATGTTCACAAATAACTGTGTGCTGATCACTGATCTAATATTCACCAATAGTTTTTCAAAACATTTAATTAACCAGTAAATTGTGTTACTGTTGTGAAAGCTTACTTCTCCTGAAATGGAGTAGTAATACACCAAACAGTGCCTTATCAAAGAGTATTTTGGATACAGTTCATGCTTTAGAAGTTGCAGGGCATACTAATGTCTGGATTCTCTGTGAAATGAGGTCATAAGGGGTCTTTGTGGACGCCAGTTGTATAGATCTACATCCTGGAGTCTTCTGATAAGTCAGAGAAAGGAATGGCTTTGCATTTTGGTGTAGCCTCAGAGTGCAGCCAGAATTCTCTTACCGGGTTGCTTGATTTTTTTTTTTAATTTCGATCGGAGATTAAGTTTGTATGAGTAAAGTCACTCCGATCAGTGAGACGCCGCTTTAAAAAAAAAAAAGCACTATTTGTTGTGCTTGCAAAATCTTTTGTTAATGGTTCCATTCATAGAAAAGATGATATCTTCAAAATTTATGTTTGGAAGGGCAAGGTCAGTGGGATAAGTAAAACACATGATCCTTTGAGTCTTTCTTTCAATGTAAATGTTTTTTGAAAGTTGTCCGTGTTCTTTTTACTTGGTTTAATCACATGGTAGCCTGTTCTCTGGAGATGTAGAGAATCCAAGAATATCTCTCCCTATCAATATATTTTCCAAATTGAGCTGAAAGCCCAAAAGAGGTAATTCTGGTCCTGAACATTGCACTTTACAGATCAGTGACAGACCTGAAGTTGCTTTTCCAAATGTCATAATTGCCACTGAAAATTTAAACTTGGTTAAAAAAAGAAACTACATCAGCTTGAAGCGTAGGTTAGTCTTAGATTTTGTTTCCCAAATTGTTTGGTAATCCTTTGCCAATAAAGTGTGCAGTGAGCATTTGGATTAGGCCTATTCATGTGAAGATTCTCATTCATTTTTTTTTTTCTGAAAACTTTATCCTGCCTGAGACACTCAAAGTGGAGCTTTCTTATAGGCTTACCCATGAAGGTAAACTTTAATTGAATAGTTCACCAGGAACTAAAAATGCTTTTATGAATGAGAATTTAGCAGTTGATTAAGATGGGAGTTATATTTTTTTTTAAAGGCTCATTTTTAATTCTGAATTTGTTTCCAGTGTTCATATCAAGATATTTCTGCAAATGTTAATTTGCTAGTTACAGAAATGATTTCATTGACTGCTTGCTGGTAGTGTCTGAGATATGAAACTGCTTTCTCTAATTCTCCTGCAATGTTTAGTGCTGTATAACCTTATATGTGGAATACAGGAGACCAGCTACGCCACTTTTTACTCTCGGAAATGGAAGCGTATTCTAACAGTATGGAAATTCTCTAAATTTAGGAATGACAGAAAGAAAGGAAAGTGTTGTGTATCACCCTGTAAACTTTTTAAAATACATTATTTTACATAGACCCTTTAAAGATCAGGTTATTTGAACTGTGCATTAATATTTTTATGCTTCTGTTTCCGCTTAAAGTCTTCTTGTAGCTGTTGAGTTGGATCAAGTCATGCTTTCAGAATGTCAATAAGCCAATAATGTAATTGTTTAACCTTTGTCTCAGCCTGTGGCCCCATTATCCATGCCACTCCTTCATAATACATTGATGTGAAGAGATCTTTAAAGGCTCATCCTCAGTTAAACATTTAAAGTTGTTCTTGACAAACTTCTGTAATGGATCAGACTGGAGGAGCCATTGCTTGAGTATGATTGTGCCAGACATTTCGCACAAGCTGCAGCTCCCCAGTCCCCTTTTAGCATAATTAATTTGACATAAATTGATGAGGCATTTCCCATGCAGTGATATGCACCAAACTATATAGGTCTGCATGTTACAAGAAAATGGAAAAAGTGAGTTCCAACACATGATTCTTGTGAATGTGTTCAATCTGTAGTGAAAAATATATACCTGCTTTTTCAGCTGAGCCATTTCTTTGGCACTTGGTATGACACCATTTGAAGGCTTGTCCTGAATTAATGCACATGAATACCGTTTTCCTGTAGAAGTGGAAGACATTTTCAGCTTTATGGTACTAGTCTGTTTTTGTTCTGAGCTTGTAAACCAAAAGGAGGCATTTTTATTTAGGGGAAATCAATATTCTGACTTCTGTCATTTTCACTACAATTAGGTTAGCGTGGAATATGTGGGTTG